TTGTCGTAAACTCAAAATAATCAACACAGCTATCGCAAGCTTGGAAGCCACTATTTCCTAGTAGTAGGTAGCAATAGAAGTTTTGCAAAGTTCGCAATCTGCCATAAAAAATCGGAATTTGACATAAGGAATTGCTATCTAACAGTTTAAAAATTACGTAATAAGGGTACCGGTTTCCTTCTGTAAGCGCTTGTATCGAACCCGGACGCGAGATCATCGGAAACGATTTCTATTGCCGTATCGTTTCTTTGAAACGAATCATCTAGCACCAAACCCAGCTCTAAATTACATTGCTCGTAATAGTTCTCTTTATGATCACGTGTAAAAATTAAGCGTGATGGTGCTCTGGGAGTTGCATAAGTCATTAGGCCTTTATATTGGATAAATTCCTGCTGTCCACCCCATTTGTCAACGCTTATGCGCATTATGCCGAGTCGACTTGTCAATGCGCAAAGATGGACTGGCTGCTGACTGGCGACAAATGAAGAACGATTCGAGAGGGGGCGATTACCAGAGCTGGACTGAAACATCTTGCTGAAACACGACTTCTGAACCTGTGGTATCATTATACTTAGGGAACATTCTCTCACAGATTGAGGATTGTTCCTAAATTTTCAGTGCTCGGTATCAACGAATACAGGGGTGCACTTGGCAATGTAATGGAATGTAGATTGACAGATGAAATTTTACTCTGAAATACTGTGAAACTTTTGCTTTAGAACGCCTAACTGATTACAGAGTCATGTAATGACACTTGCTGACAGCCGACTAATTTCTAACCACGATTTCTGCGACCATTGTAGTTATTATAAGATACCCTAGCGATACGAGGAAGCATTTATCATGAAAAATATATAATATATATATATATATATATATATGTATATAGTTCGGCACAACTTAGCCCATCCGAGAAAAAAAGTTAGCTATAAACATATATAACAAGAAAATTAAAAGGATCAAATTAGTCAAACAGGCTAATACAATTAAAATTTGCATAGGTATGTACCATGTTTTTCGTACAATTTTATGCTCTTCAAAAAGCTCTCATAAACAAGTTGTCTCTTGTCGGTGGATCTCTCCCCCTTCTCCTGGGAAAAATTCCTACGGGCGTATATGATCGAAACTAAGGGTACATCAGGCATGGATAGAGATCGTTTTAGTTTCAGATCACCAAGTTTTAAGGATAAATGTACGTCGATGTTTAGTGAAATATCTCTAAAAGGTGCGTAGAATTACCACGGATGGAGGCGTATAAGTATACCACTGACAAAATATTGAGATATACCCTCCCCCGCCTCCTTAAAACCTCCCACCCCCAACTCTTCAGCCCTTAATTTTTTTTCAAAAATGATCTGAAATGTCAAAAAGCCAAGTTTGAGCGATTTTTATTGTTTTCCTTTTTCCCCTAGCTCCGCCGCCACTGGTATGGTTTTCAAAAGCTATAAAGTGGAAATGAGTGACATAGTTTTTCTTGATGTACATGTCATATAACTCTCAAAAACATAGTATCTCATTTCATTTTCGAGATTTTTCTCGATTACAATACTTCCATGCTAGTAGCTTAGGAATAAAAAGGACTAAGGGACATTACATCGATAATTTTGATAAATAAGCTACCCTCTTGGAAACTGCCTCATTTATGGAGCTGTACTTCCCGACAGTGTTGTTACCTAGTCAGGCCAGGCAGGTTAAATTGTGAAACGTACTTCTACTGTGAAATAAGCCATATAGCTTTCTCAGTAACTGGTGCAATTGACGCAAATCAAACTCGACCAAATCATCTGACGTCTAGGGATATTTGTTAGGCTTAAGTTTTGAGTGTCAACAAACACATTTTTATTTTTCTGCTGACTATCAATTTCTTCCGATAGCTTTTATTCATCCTGTTCGATATGCATTAAACAATTATTGCAATGAACAGAAGCTAATGTTACTTGTCTAATGAGTACATAGTCCAATGTAGTTGATGATCTGATGACTACTAGTTAACAACGGACCAAGTCCAAACCACATAATCCGTTGTGACGGAATAAACTGAAGAGAAACAAGACGGCAGTGATGATATTACCATAATTTAACGTCTTCATTTGCGTGTGGGCTAATTTGGCTTTTTGGCCTGGGGCCGTCGATCCACGGCTACCAAGTGTGGATGGACCGATGGACGGTGGTCCCTGCTTTTTCGGTACTACTTTATTATTATTTTGAGCGCTTTGAGCTGAGTGAGGACTGGCTGCTATTACCCGCTTTAACCAGGGTAATCATGGTATGGCTATACACGTACACCGACCAATTTCGTGTGCATGGTAATGAAGAATTCAGGGCTGGAATTGAGAAATTGACATTTGATATCACAACAAAAACGTGTGAAGTGTGAAGTTTCCCCAATGTAAGATAAAAAAAACGGTGCAAGAAGCACCACTAGTGGTAGTAATGCCGAGGCAACTAGGCAACTTTTGGTGCATGTTGCTCACTCCTGACATAAACATTAGAACTTAGCTAGAAGGTTGAGCGGCTCTATCCTGTTGCTCATCTACCATAGCGTACAAGGCTTATCTGGGGCTGATATGACCGTCTAGGCTGTCTTCAGTCACTCCTGCATCCAACAAATTGGTTTTCTGTCCGAGTTTAAATTCCTTTGAAACCCTGTCGAAACAACTTTTCCAAATATGAGCAATGGAAAATTGAAGGCGATTTATCCTACAATGTCAAAGCGGGTGTACCTCGGGGATGGATATTGGCTCCGACATTGTTCCTTTTATTTTTCAGAATTCAGAGTGGCAAGACGATCTCCTCCGGTGAGCTGGAGCAAAGCAATGACCTCCTCTCTCACGAGAGACCTGTAGATTATCAATACTTGAAGACGCATAAATCTGGTACAGTTCAATGTTTCCAAAACATAATATACTATACCTTGACGCACAAAAAGCGCCCTAGCGCACATCGGGTTTCGATGGATGGCAGGGTTCAACCAAAGAGCTCCTCATTTCGGCTATGGCTCACATGTTTCGGGTTCTGCTGCCTCAGCTAGTTTATACATGCTCGATGCTGTTCAGAGGAGGGATTTCCAACTGATCAATGATTCTTCTGTAACGCACAGTCTCGACACCCTTTCGCACCGATGAGCCCTCGGTGATCTGGCTCTCTTCTACCGCTATGACAACGGGTTTTAAATCCCAGAGCTCTCCTATATGATATCGTCGTGCGATGGGCCTGGCAGACCCGCCTGACTTTCGGCATTCCATCCTAACCGTATCGAACTTCGTACATCTAAAACTCGCCAGTACGACTGCTTCCTTGTCCCTGTTTGTAGATTGTAAAATTATCTGTCTGCGGAGGTTTCTTTAAGCTCCTCATAGCAACCTCAGTAGGTACTTAGGCTTCTGCCCACACGGCTGCTTCGGTATGAAAACACATTACATATCTAAAAATGAAGATAAACTATGTGAAAATTGCTCTCAAAAATGTGAAACTACACGCTCCGAATACGCCCCTGTACCTGACATAACGGTAGCGGTAAACGGTAGTAATTGGATATCTGAAATTCCAGGTTGTTTTCTTATGAAGCTCGATACGTGTTTTGGCTAAATATACAGTAGCCACACAAGCACCGTATACGTTTTTAGTTTTTTATAGCACTTCAAAGATCAGCTCAGGGTGTGAAGGTAAAAAATCGATGTTATTATCTTGTAAAAGCGCAGATGCGTAATTTATCTTCTTAAATTCAAAACATGCTAAATGATGAATAATTTTATGACTTCTTCAAAAATTATAATATTTTCAGAAGGTATAATTTAATCAATGGAGTGAGTATCTTCTGACAAAAATGACTAAACTAGTGGTTGATAGATATGAAAATTTGGCTCTGACGTTTCCCTGACTAGTTGAGTCGATCATTAGAATCTCATGTCCTTCTTTTGCCTAAATATCCAAGCTTTTTGTCAAAAAGTAATATGCTAGTCTTCTCCTCTCAAATACATTTTCAGATAACAGTCTTCAATATGAATGCTTACTTAAGGAATTAGAACCCTCTAGTTCCACTTGGTGCTGTCCCTTTGGTATATTTCAAAAACACTGTTCAGGGTAAAATATTAAAGAGTATCTTTGATTATTGTATTCTACCTGAAGATAGCACTGTATTCCTGCACCCAAAAACGGATAGGTTTCTACATTCATTTTTGTGCTCTGCTACAGCCTCATAAATTGTGATAGTAACTTTCAGATCTGCGCTAAAATACAGTATATGGTTAGCTATCTTCAAGTAGAATACGTCAACCAATGATAGAATCAAAAACTTCTACTCGGCCATCTACTGTACTTACCTAACTCCGAAGGAGGGTAATTTCATATAAAGCAGCGACTTCAATGTTGCTGAGACTTGTCTGGAGAGAGCGATGCAACCTGTTAGAAAAAATATGGCCGTATCCTACAACTTTGGTCACTGTCCTCTTGCACAGTAGATTTCAAAGATAACTTTAACTTCTCGCTGTTAAACAATAACAGCAGAACATCAGCAACAGCTGAGGCTATCAATGTAAAAATAATCATAGGATATTAGCAGTAGCTAGTAACTTATTCCAAAGTATAAAGGTTTGATGTCAACCACCGACGGCACTGTTCGGCAACGTGTAACATCAAAGGCCCTCGATGCCGCCGTGTCAGTATCTTTAATTATCTCTCCGAATTCTTCGGAAGTGGGGAGGCATAAACAAAACAATTGAGCATCGGGCTCAATAAAATCACAGCCTGCCTTGACGGATCGACCGCTCATGCTTGCAAGGGTAACAAACGACTATCGGTCAGGGGTGGTGACAAATGGCATGTGTGCATACTACAGGGCTGGAGTAAGTAAAGATAAACAGAACAGATTATTCCATCGGATAGATACCAGTTAATGTGGGTTCATGTTTTTAAATTCTCTTATGGACTCATTAGGTGAAAAAGAAATATAAGTCTTTGGATTCTTATTTTAATATCAGTCTAGGATCAACATTTTAAAAATGTTTGGCACTTCAAGCCTATGTAAGTTAGCTTGCTACTGCACTGGAATTTTCGACAATCTTCTGCTATATTAATGTCATTGTTTTGACGAAGATATGTTTCTTTGTTGCTCTCAAAAGGACGACCCTAGTCTCTATTTGTTTGTCCCACTTCGAAATCCAATATATTTTTTAAAAAATATTTCTTCTATCAGAGTAGGGCTGCATGACCCCTTTCTGATATTTCTGATAATTTTACGAGGCATACTCAGTATGTGTTATTACTAAGAAAGCCTGGTTATATTTCCACAGACGACTGAAAATTATACGCTGCCTTCAGAAATATAGCGATTCCATTGGGAACACCAACGATCTTTTGAATCCGGTTCTCACATAATTTATCATGCTTTAAGCTGGGGTACCATAATGCGTAGCTAATTTAATGACTAGGTATTTTCAGACCACCCTGTATGAAAACTTATATAGATAGATACCGAATTAGATTGATCCTGTTGACAGATATCCAAGTCTGATTTCAATTTTGGTAAAACGTAAATAATATTAACAACCACATCAACGATTTTAAAGACATAAACATTCTACCAGCATAGTTTTTAAGTATTCTAAGATGAAAAGTCAAGTACGTTTCCAGTATTTAGGGTAGTAAACTGTTTTAGAAGTATCAATTTTTCGTAGTAAGGGTACCAAAGGTTCTGTAGCTGATTTGTTGATGTTTACATGCACAAGTGATTAGACTGAATGAAATATGGAAAAATACGATGAAGTCTAAAAAATCATTGAATTACGTATCCTACCTGAAGATAGCCAACCAAATACTATATTTCAGTGTCCAAAAAATTATCCGAGATGAAATAAGATACCGTAGCGTCATTTCTGAATACTCGTGAAAACCGTGAGGATACAGGGGGATACAGGAGTTGCGGGGACGTCACACAGACTCTAGCGGGAGGTAACACGTGTCCATGTGACATGCACAATAATTGTTGGCCCGCTTGCCGGAGGTAGTACCTCCACGCTCGACGGTCTGAGAAATATTCTCTTGGGACGCGCAGCTTACGGTGACTGATTAGTAGACCTATACCGTCTACCACCAAGCCACCGCGCTAAATTATGAGAACTAGATATAATGCCGGCCCAAAGCCCGATCGTATGCCATATTAAACGTGTAGCTGCAAAAAGAAAATGAAACCCCTTTTACTCACAATAGCCTTGCCTATTAGTTTTCCCGAAGAGGATATCAAAAAAAAAATATACCAAGTATTCGTAGGAACTGAAGATTAACATTCTGATTAACACTACTATGCTACTTCTGAAGCTCTATTTTACACCTCTACGTACACCGCCGTCTCGTGGAATTCCCTCCCGACGCAGAGAATTCAATAACTAGGCAGCTCGACCGAGCATCGTAACCCCCCTCCCCTCCTCATCGCTCACCTGTTCCTCGATTGGCATTAGCGCGATCGTTCGGTGTTCGGTCCGACTCCACGCCGCCTTGGATGTCGGCCCCTTTGATGTTCGCCGCTGTGCCGCTTGACGGCGCGCCGTTAGTCACACCTGCCTGTGCGCCGGCCAGCGTCCGACGCTTGACGCGACGCGAGGCATGATTTGGCGATATCGTTAATAACGCGTTCGCTGCGCGGTGTTGCCGATGTGGAGGCTATGCTGGTGGTCTACTACTGACGCAATGGCATGGATGTTCAGCTTTTTGACTTGGTACTCCACGGTGTTTGATTAACTTGGTTCGTAACTTATAGCGTTTTTTTTTTCAATAAAACTGGTACAATTTCCGTGTTTAGGACCATTCAAGTATTAAGTAAGTACTGCTTCGCTTATTGTTATCGATTCCTTCAATTGCTTTGAAGTTGCTTAATACATCTATATGTATACGTCTTGTTTATCAAAAGAAAAGCAGGTAAAAACAGGGTCGTGGACCCTGTCGGTGCTCCCACAGAGCTTCCTAATTAATAAAATTCCTAATAAGTTTATTATTTCAGGCATTTTAACGGTTTATAACATTATTTTTCATGGGAGATGGGGGAGTCTGGATGGTGGTTACATCAGCAATATCTTCTTTTTTGGAGTTTCAACTTGAAAGCGAAACACTTGTTCAGGGATTCTCCAAACATGTAGGTATGTGCAACCTTAGAAATTCGTATAACCGAGGAGAGCGCAGAATGGGTCCTCTTAGTTTAGAACTGGCTGGCATTTTGGGTCTTATTTGGATAAACGTGGCTTTACAATTAATAAATATTTAAAAGATTCAATTGGTATGCATGGTATGAGTGAAAAGGCTTACTGAAGGAAACATTCTAAATCCAATATGGGGCATACTACAAAATGGCGATTTATTATTTCCACAGTAACCCCTATGATATCGGTATCTCATGTAAAGAGTTGATACGCGAAGCATAATAAGTAAAACGGTATTATTCTAAATCCAATAAGGCGAACGTCTAAAATGAAAATGCACTATTATCTATTACAATATGGAACTGATCCGATGATAGACTCAGAAGGTGGTCATGGAAACCCTGTAATAAAACGTCTAGTTTAATTCGTCTTGACAGTAGTCGGTCCTAGGTCCTGTTTTGTAATAACCGTAGGTATCAAATTTCAGCAATGGCACATCGCCAAAATATACTCGTAGGTATGTTACGTTTTATTACTGGGATCAATTATTGAACAAGCATAGTTATAAGATATAGGTATGTCTCCCATATTTACGTAATATATGATAAAATATAAAGTAAGAGGTTTTATGGAATCCTATTAATATGTGTAAATTAAATAGACATAGACTGTAGTTATTCAATATCATAAATGCAAAAGTAAGATTAAATCGGAGAAAGAATATTACCAAAAACAACCTTTCATTTAGGCGTCAATAAAAAGAAATAAAAGATCAAAAACATGTTTTTGCTATTAGAAATATGTCATACCATACTTCGTGACCTTTAACCCCGAGAGCATTATATTTTTTTATTAAATATTTAAAAAAATGCTTGTTAAATATTTGTAGTGACATATTTTTCAATATTTAATAAACATGTTTTATATATTCATAAAATTTTCATTAGTTATAGATATTTGTAGTAGGTACTTATATATAATTCATATATTTTTGCGATATGTTTTCCAAATATTTAGAAAATAGGTAGGTATATGAGGAAATATTTTAAAATATCAATTTTATATTTTGAATATCTAATAATTTTTGTGAATATGTATTTAAGAAATATATGGAGCAACAGATTTTCGAGCATTGATCTGATATATATTTTCAGTGTATATAGAAAATTCTTCATTGGTTATTTTAGAAAAATCTGTAGGATTTTTTTTTATAAATTGGGTTTATGAAGAAAATCCATTCAAGATATATTCAGTAACTCCAATCATCCCGTATTCCTCACCATTTCTACTATATAATTACTTCAAGGTCTCAAGGATCCTTGAAGACACATCTGAATCACAAACAGACATTAATCTTCCCAACAACAAAACAGCATAAAAGAACTTTTTACAGTTTGTAGGTACACTTCTACCGATGAACCACAAATGTTTTATCCTCGCGCGAACCATTCCGAAGATGAAATGAAGCAAGTACCAATTATCCCAATTATTTCTTCTATACAATTACCTCAAGAACCCACTCGAAGCGACAACTAAATCCCAAACCATTTAACCCTGACACTAATCTCCCGGACAACAAAACATCCGAACACCTCTCATCCCCATTTACAACTGAAGTGCCATTAGTCATCGATTCCCACTGACCACCCCACTTGAACAGCGGCTTTTTAGATCTCAGTAGGCCAGGTATCTGTGCTGACACCCGAATTAATATTCAATTAGTACCACAATTAATCCAAAATGGTGACCGGGCAGCGTGTGAAATTTTGCGCATTGTGGCTCTGAGGTGTAATTAAGGTGAGAAAGAACACCGCAGGGATGATGATGTTTTTGTACAGGTTGTGGCATGTGGTGTCGAGTAGACTAACTCGACGATGCATACCTATATGCATTAATATCAAGTGATCTGGGTTTAAAAGAAGTATTTGAAAATCGAGCATTGAAGACTACTAAGTAAATTATTTTTATCCTTTGTTTTTGGCGTATTCAGAATATAGTTATAGGGGGAGGGGATCGGCGATTGCATTGAAGAGCGGGGAGGTGGCGGCGTCTGCTGCATCAGTGCTTCTGAGAGCGAATGCCTTTGTGAAATTCATTTGCGAAGAGTGGGGGCGTCGTCTGTGGCGACTTTTCGATACTTCGAACTCTTGGTTTTTTCAAATTTTTTATTATTATATTTATCTTTTTTTCACCATGAAACTGGCAAGTGCTCCGGGGGAGAGTGTGACTATATACAATCTGCGAAACCCTATAGTTCGCCAATTTTGGCTTGACAGACAAGGTTAAAAATTAATTTAGAATAAAGTAATCTCAAAATACTCCTCAAAGTATTGTAAATCACAAGATTCAGTTATTAATTAGAAACTTGGCGACCTCAAAAATTATAACTTTTTACCGAGTCCCTAAGCATTGAATATACCCATTTTTAGGGCTTTCCACGCGTTGAATCTCTTGTTTAAACTAATTTGATCTAGGTTACCATGCGGGTAGATATATTCAATGCTTAAAGATCTTGAAGAGTATTTTGAGATTAGTTATATTTTAAAGCAATTTCAACATTGGTTTTTAGGGCAAAATTGGCGAAATCTTGGTTTTCGCAGACTGTACTTCATGTCGAACTGTCAATGTCAGAAAATAAAGGTATAATTCCCTCACAAATAATGAAAGCATAACGTCCATAGCAGAAGTAGGGACACTTTCTAAGGGCAAGCCATGAATTAGGTCTTCTTACGATGACTAAAAAATGCTAAAACGTTCACAATCTCTACCGAATGACGATAGAAATACAGATATAGAAACGTTTTTCAGCATCCCGATCACATCTGACTTCCTCTCGGCACCTTTACGAAAATAAAATAAAAAAGATGTACACACCGTGTGCCGTCTCTAATAAAGTGCGAATGTTGAGGTGTTATTTTTAAGTAAAGTATAGGTTTCAAAACAGGAATAGTAGGTTCACCTTGCGGATAATCCAGCTTCTTACCATGTCCCTTTCTCAGCTCGTGGGGCTGCAATCCCAGGAAATCTACTAAACTATCTGAACCTGAACTGCAAAACCTTGTCCTGTTTTTTTTGTCACTTCCGGGACTAAGTATAAATGGACTTCTTAAAAAAATATGAATCTGAAATATATTCAAAGCTCCATTTCTCGCGCGTGTTCTCTCGCTTATTTTCTGGGGTCGCTACTCACGAGTTTGTTGGAAACTGATCTATGGATAGGAATATTGTTTCTCATAATAAATAATATAACTGAAATGAAATGCCGTTTTGCTTACATAAAACGACCAGAAGTTCCTGGTTCTTTGTAAGACTACCAGTTCTTTATTTCCCTGAGTACACTTACCCGTTTGTTGAGCAGACATAAATACAGATATGCTCATTCATTTGTATTCCAAAAGCATTCTCCATATAAGAATCTGGAAGCTTGCAACCTACAAAGCATACTAGCGAAATGCGGGTTGCAGCAATATAGGCAAATATCAGCAAAACGGCCGTGTGCGAATGTTGTAATTTCATCTGCGAGGTTGCGATTTTTTACTTAATAAGCATGGGAGATCTCTTCGGCCGAGGCGACCGCTTTGCTTAAGGCTGAAAAAACATCTGGCTCTCCGAGTGATCTTACTTCTCGTAGTGTTATACACTTCGTTTTTAAGTAAACGGGAGTTGAGTCGCTTTGATTCAACGTATTAAATCGCTGTTAACAGTTGACAGCGGAGTATTTAAAACAACATACGTATCTGTTTCTTCTCTTGATAGACGCGTTTATGGGGCGGCAGAAAAGATCAGATGAAAGGATTGCCGCTGACGTTAATTGCTCATATTAAAGCAGATAAATCATAAGTTTCGGTGAAACGAAATGAAAACATGACTTGGCTGCTGCTTATATTTTTATAAGGGGAGTCATGGAAACTAACGTACTGAACAACTCTCAAGACATGATGAGACGAATAGGGCGCACTTAGTAGGAAAAGGCTGATGGATACATACTAAAGGTGTGCTCAATGAGCTCTTCCGATTTGGGTTAAGATTACATGCCCTGTGGTTAACGAGCTACAGTTCACACAACCTAACATTTAGGCCACGCTTGTGTCGACTCTTGATTGAGTGCTGGTCAACCCTTGGATATTGAACGAATAATAACACTTCCTTGAATGACCTTCAAGTGGTTTTCAAGTTTTTTTCAATCTGAAAGTTTCGAGAATCATGAAAACTGAGAATCTTGAAAATTTTGTATTGCTTGAAATTTTTAGAAATCCTGTGAATTTTTTTAAGTCTAAAAATGATGAAAACTGTAAATTTTGTAAATTGAAAATTTCGAAAATACTAAATTAAAAAATTCCTGATTATTTTGATGAAAATTTTGTGAACTCTGTTTATGTAGAAAATTTTTAAAATAAACAAAATTTTTATATTAATTCTAGAATTTTGGAAATTTAGGAAATCTGTTACAAGTGGATATCTGTAAAGCACAAATATGGAATGTCCACTTGAGAGTTAGGAACTATTTTCTTCGTTCGAAATCTGGGGATTGGTCGACTCTCAAATAACCCTCAAGAGTGGACTATAAAGGTGGGCCTTGATGAATGTTTTGAGAAAAATGTTTACAGTACGTTTCGTCTCGAAAGCTAATGTTTAGTAGCCTGCGCGGTCATCAGACTTCAAGAATCTGTAGCTTCTTTCTTTGGGGATATCTAAAGAAAAAAGCGCTTAGGCATCTTCCTCATACTCTATTAGAGCATACTAGATCGGGTTATTGAAGAAGTGAACGCTATTTCCACGATAATCGCTGTTCAGAGCTTCAGGAGTCGTCTTCAACATTGTGTTGCTGCTAGGCTCCATCTTGAGGATACTGTTTTCAAAACAACTAAATTTATATAAACCGTTCATTCCGAAATTAAAAGCATTTATTTTGAATGTAATCCAGATTTCCTTCTTACTTCCTAAGCCACTGGCGAGGAAGTTTGTAATCGCGAGAAGTTTTGGAAATGAGATATGCTTTTTGGATCTTATATCATGACACATCGCGAAAAACGATGTCACCCATTTCCGTCTGCTAATTCTTGGCCCGCCTATCACTTGGAAAGTACCGGTTGGATTTTGATGAAGTTTCCACACGATGTTGCCAGTATATCCATAACGAAAAGGCTTTGTAGCTTCTGAAAATCGGTCCATTGGCAACGGAACTACGGGACAGAAAATGGAAAAAATGGATAAATCGCTCAAATTTTGAATTTTTGAGGTCTCAGGGGCTCCTGATCATTTTCAGAAAAAAATGTAGCGGTTAAATACCGGCGGTTGGGGATTGTCGGAGGTGTAGTTAGTATTATTTATACGTTTCCAACCTCGATAATTCTACGTTACTATTATATTTCACATATCATAGTTTGCTCGCGCATGTACTCTTAAGCTTGAAAATGATAGAGAAATGTTTTGGAGACGCGTCTCTGCTTCTGCTCTTTGGATTCACCGGCGATCATTTCGTTCTAGATGGGTGTCGTTGTTGAGTCTGGCACGTCGTGAGGTCAGCTATGGGGAGGGGCGACGTTGCCAGATGGAAGATAGTACCGGTAGAGCAGGGAAATAATTTCTATCGACTAACTGGGTGTGTGTTGGTTTGACTGACTTGATCCGTTTATTTTGTCTTTTATACATGTTCGGGACTAACTTTTTCCTAACTTGTGCTGAACATAATCCTTTACCAAATAATGACGACGTTGCGAGGAAATTGCAGAGTCAATCTACTTGACGCCATTATTATAACCCTTTAAAGCTGCTAAGTTGGTCTCCAGGTACCTGTTTTTACCCAGAATCTAGAGTATACTTTCCCGGAGTTTTTTGATGATCTGAATCCGAATAAGAAGTCCAAATCTCTTAATTGGCTCTAGTTTCCGAAATATCTTAAGCAAATAGTGCAAAAATAGCGATCTTAGCCTATTTTGAGGTTATGCAGCGTGGTGAATTATTTTATCGAATAACCATAGACATTAACAGAAAGTACTAACCTTGCCAATTCAAATGACGTTGAGCTTGCTTAGATTTTCTTTCGCTGATATATGGCAGTTTGAAATATTCATTTTTCTGAATTTCACTAAATTTCAGACTCTACACGTTATGATTCTATCTAAAATATACTCAAATTACTAGCACACAACCCACCCTACCCTATCAAGGCCAAGTTTAACGTTCTTACTTTCGATTGCACACTTTTAAAAGTAAAAAATTGCTTCTGTTAAACATGAAAATTTTAAAGTATTTTATTATATCTGCGAAAGAAAAGAATATTCAAGCTAACTTAGCGGCATTTGAAAGGGCAAGGCTTATATAGTGATAAAATGCCTATGGTTTGAAAAAAATAGCTATTTTTGCACGTTTAGGTTAATTATTCCGTAAACTAGAGCCAACTGAGAGGGTCGGCTGATTTTTGTCGATCTGTGTTGTTTCTTTGTGCAAGCTTTAACTGTCACACCATTCTAACGCTTCCATTCTTTGTTCCAGATGGCCAAAACCACCTGAACCTCTTCAACAACCGGCAACAACCTAAGAAGAAACGAAAATCTCGGACGGCCTTCACCAACCACCAGATCTTCGAGCTGGAAAAGCGTTTCCTCTACCAAAAGTACCTCAGTCCCGCCGATAGGGACGAAATCGCCTCCAGTTTGGGCCTGACCAACGCCCAGGTGATCACGTGGTTCCAGAACCGTAGGGCAAAGCTTAAAAGGGATATGGAAGAATTGAAGAAAGATGTGGAGAGCGCAAAACTGCTAAGCGCGCACAAGAGCTTTCTGGAGAACGTGACTGATTTGGGAATTTTAAAGAAGAAGGCTGTTATCAGCGAAGATGATTGTCCGAAGAATCTTGTGGTTTCTGAGAAATAGTGATAAGAACGCTAGGTGTATATATTTGCATAGATATGGTCGTTGAATGAAATGAGAAATGTTGGATTTTGAATTGTAAGCGACGGGAAGAAGTAATTGAACGCCTTCAATCAACGTAAAGCTTTCATGGTGAATAAATAGCATTAGTAGCCATGGAATAGCTTTGTCAGTCAGTCCGGAAGATTCAATCAACAAATAATCAAATACAACAGCCAAGTGAACTGCTTTACGTTGGCTAAACTCCGTCAATATGTCACTTTTTCTATTCAAAAGATATACTGTTATCAGATGAAGTTTGTAGATAGCGAGGCTTGCACAGAAACTTTACCTTGGGCTTGTACATGTACGGTAAGACTCGGCCCAAAATATGCGGCCAAAACCTAGTGCGTTACGAAAATAAGAAAAGAAGAAAATCTGGAAAATAGTTCATAAAATGACATTGAAAATAGTTAGGATGCTTCAAGCTGTGACAGATCAAAAGATGTGCAATTTGTATGTAGACAGTATAAGAGACTGGGCAGAATTTCAATGATCGAAGTTTATTGAGACGTAACAAAAATTATAAGAAATATAGCCCTTCGGTTTTGTTCAATGGCACTGATGTCCAATTTCGCCTTCGGTTGGTGGTCAAACTGTCCAAAGTAGATTAAAAAATAGCGTCAAGTAGTATGACACTGCAGTTCCTACACATATATAAATTGCTAGCACTAAAAAATTGCCAGATCCTCGAGAACCCCAACATCAATTTTTAACCACTGTAACAGGTATTATGATCCTCTCAAACGTCAAAAAAATGAAGTTTGAGCGATTTTAACTTTTTTCGCTTTACTTCCTACGCCTCTGCAGAAAAGCATGCTATTAGGTTGTTCTTGCGGTCTTTGTTATTTATATTTTAAATGATGTATTTTACACTAAAATTTATTTATAATTCGTTGACTTCATATATCATTTTAAAGCGCGTTATTTGCTATATATAGCCGTTGTATTCGTTTCGTTCTACAATACTTTGTTTTTTCAAGACTTCAAACATTATTGAGCCGTATTCATAAAAGAGAAGCATATCCTCGGAAGCATGAGGTAAAAGTATAAGGTCTTGCTTCGGAGAAAAAGGTAGAAGTATAAGCATATCCTTGTTTTCATATTCATAATGATTACCTTATACTCGCGAGGATATCCTCCAAGAAGAAGTAAAAGGTTGACTGGTATTTGTATCTTGAGCGACATGTCCTGACTTGTTCCAGCTTGTAGTTGACGTGGGAGTTCGTTCACTCAGCTCACTGGCAGTTGTACGCCAGAGCTTACACAGACCGTTCCGTATTTTTATTGGATACAGTTTTTTATCAAATTAATAAGCATGTCAAGTGATGAGGAAATTAGAAATGATGCAGCGTCAGAAGACACCTGTAACTTATGATGTTCACGAAAATAGAATACACTTTAATCAGTAAAACTATTTATTATAATACTCAAGTTTCTTCTTATTTGTTGATCAAGTAGGCGGAGAGGAAGTTCATTCATGGGTCTTGTTCAACTAACTCAAAGTCAGGATCGCCCAAGCTCTTTGCAACATTATGGAGTACAATACAAGCAATAATTATTTTCGGCCCACTTTCCAACTTTACGCTGCAAACATACTGTAGGATAGGAAACCGGCGTTTCAGTTGGCCGAAACAGCGTTCAATTATAACTGTTTCTTGTTTTAAAAGCTTATTATAATTTATTTCTGCACCTGTGGTAGGATTTCTGAAGGGAGTCATAAGCCATGGCTCAATACCAATACCAATACGTCATCGCCAAGTAGTCAACATTTGCTTTATTTATTAGCTGTGATCTAGTCTGTGAATTTCTCCATATTATGGAATCATACACTGATCCAGGCCAACTGACATCAACACTTGTGAACATCTCTCTGGCATCACAAGTGGCTTGCACATTTAAAGTAGGTTTCCCTTTTCGGTTGATACACTCATCTCCATGGCGATTTGGTTTACACCAATTGCTGTCGGAAATTTAAAACATGTTTTGCCATATCCGCTTGGCCTCCATCAGTTCATGGTTGGTAGTTGGAAGCTTGATCCATTCGTTCGACTGTGCAACTATGCTGTTCACAACTCTATCCACAGTCCGAGATACCGTTGCTTGACTAACACGAAGTTCCTGACCAATACTTTGTTGATATCCAGGGTCACCGAGATTGCGTAGACATATCTTCATTTTATGAATACATGAAAGTGCTCCTTCTCGAATTTCCTCATTCTCAACTAAAAATCTGTCCGCAAGCCATTGTACACTTGCTTCGTCGAACCGATATAATTTTTTGAAGTTACCACCTAGTGAAGGTAAACGAGGTTTGTACGTTTTAACATCCCTAACATCCACAACTTCCGCCATCATCGCTTGACCACCTTTCGTTACGAAGTTGAGTCTGCTACTGACCACACTCAGAATTTTTGAAGGAAAGCAAAAGCATTTACTTCAAATTATTATAAATACCATCTGAAGGATTTCCTTCAAAATTTGCAAGAACAAGGATATCCTTTGTTTTATGAATACGGCTCATTGGATAGACAAGAGGCAAATTCGCGCGATTTTGTTATTCCAGTTCAAATTAGGTCAAAAATCTGCCGAGACAGCTCGCGATATCAACTATTCCGCAGCGGTGACGAAAGCCTTGGAGATGAAGGGCGCAGTAGTCGGCCACATGATGTCGGCGACTTTTCTTTTGTACCGAACCAGGCGCGCAGGCAGAAGCCTAAATGCCGGGACACCGCGGCTGCTATGATGATCCCAAAGAAATTTTGTTAATCCGATTTTTGAACTGCGTAAGGTTCGTAGAGCTGGGAAAAGCTCGACGAATTAGAGGCCCTGGTGGAAGCAAACCTGCACACAACTGTTCGTGAGCTTACGGAAAAGCTTGATGTGGGTATTGCGACCATTTCCGACCACTTCGGAAAGTCAAAAAAGCTCGATAAATGGATACCATACAAATTGAGCGAACATTCTACGAAACAAAAACTACCCGTTTCTCGAACGGATTATGACATGTTATGAAAAGTGGATTCTCTGCGACAATAGGCGACGTTCTGTGCAATGGTTGGACAGCGACGAGGCTCCAGAACACTTCCCGAATCCGAAGTTTCATCCAAAGAAGGTTAGGGTGACTGTTAGGTGGTCTACAGCCGATCTCATCCACCACAGCTTCCTAAATCCTAAATTACGACAGAGAAGTACTGCGAGCAAGTCGACAAAATGAATGAGAAGCTCCGACGTATGTACGTAGGTACTCTAGATTGGTCAATACGAAGGGGAACATTCTCGTCCATGACAACGCCCGGCCACACGTCGCACAACCGACCCTGCAAAAGCTGAACGAGTTCGGCTATGAAACTCTGCCTCATCCACCATATTCGCCGGACCTCTCGTCCACCGACTACAACTTTTTCAAACATCTCGACAACTTTTTACGTTAGCGGCATAAATAAACTTGTTTCTCGTTGTAAAGGTGTACTGATTGTAATGGTTTTTATTGTGATTAATAAAGTTTTGTTGAAGCGGAGATATGCTCCTTTGAATTTGCAGGTTAAAAACCGCAAGAACTTTCCGAACCCAATTGAAATGCATATTTTAATTGTACGTTTGACTAACTTGATTCATTCAATTTTTATGTTATACATGTTCGTACCTAATCTTTTTATCAGAGGGACCAACTTGTGCCGAACATATCCTTTATGAACTGAAGACAGCATTGCGTAGCCAGAGTCAACCCAATTGACTTAATTTTTTTGCCTGTAACTTTAACCGCCACTAGGCCGATTTTCAAAGACTACAAAGACGTTTCATCCTTATCATAGTAGTAACCCTCCCAAGTTATAAACGGGCCAAGGATTAGCAGTTGCGTAGGAAGTAAATAACAGATTTGATTGAAATGATACTTTATCACGTGTGAGGTCTATCGAGCGTCATTTACTTGTTGCTTTCCAGATTACCCCTATTGTCGTCTGAATTAGAAAAAAAAACGATTATAGTTGGCCAATGGACATGCAGGTGCTTCAAAATCTTGTCATTCAAATTTGATGGCAGATTCGGCACGCAAAAGTACGGAAAAAGAAGTTTATTTAGACATGGCTCCGGAAATACCCAATGGGATATGTTACCGAGTGTTCAAGTTCATGCTTAATAAAAACTTATGTAGTTTCAACAAAGACTTGTATCACTTGCTTCAAGCCATATTCATTGTACTTGAAAAGCGTCTCTTTAAGCGTTTCGATATGTTCGTTAAAAAGGGACCACATTCTACATTTTAATAACGACAAGTGATTAACGTGCTCGTCAACAAAATATTTTTTTTTTTTTAGAAAAATTTCAAGAGGCGAAATTTGATTAGAATCAACCTGCTTTCAAGATACTGATACTAAATATTTGTAAAAGTTTGTTTGTTTTTCCTCTATGCACGGAGATTTGCCGGCACGAACGTCACTGATGTGCTTTAGGAAGCAATCTTCTATATGTTCGTCGTAATCTACGGGTTCTCCTCTTCATCCCACAACGTCAACGCGGGTGTTCCCCAGGGATCGGTCTTGGCTCCGATACTGTTCCTTTCTATATCAACGACATCCTTTCCTGCACGATCAGCCCAATCCACAGCTTCGCTGATGACAGCACTCTACAAGCAGGAATCAGAGTGACAAGCCGATCTCTGCCGTTCAGCTGGAAAAAAGAAGACTAGCGACGACTTCCTCTCTGACGAGAGACTTGGAGGTTATCACTGCTTGGGGACGCAACAATCTTTTGAAGATTAATGCTTCCAAAATACAGTACTCTACCTTGACGAACAAAAAGCGTCCTAGCGCTCATCCGATTTCGATGAATAGCCGAGTTCTGCTGACGAGCCATTCATTTCGGCTGGTCGGAGTCCAGATCACCGAGAACCTGATCTGGCAGGAACACATCTCGTCAATAGCAGCAGCTGCTGGGAAAAAGCTAAGCTATTTGCTTAGGGCTAAGAAGTACTTTTCTCCGCATGACCTTCTCACTCTATACAAGGCCCAGATAAGGCCCAGCCTCGAGTATTGCTCACACGTTTGGAATGCTGCCGGCCCGATTACATTATTTATGATCGATCTAGGGCTGTTCGACTGATCGATAACTCTTCTCTAAGAAACAGTCTCGGTGTCGGCGATCTAGCTCTCTCCTACCGCTACACCAACGGGCTTTGCTCCTCAAAGCTGACTTCCATAATGCACCCGCACGATGTGCCTGCCAGACAGACCCGCCTGACTTTGGCCTCCCATCCTAACCGTGCCGAACTTCGTACATCCAGAACTGGCCGATACCAGAGGAAGCTTTTCCCAGTTCTACTAACCTTAGGCAGTACAAAAATCGGATTAACAAAATTTCTTTGGGAAGATCATAGCAGCCGCGGTGTCCCGACATTTAGGCTTCCCTGCGCGGCTGCTTCGGTATAAAAGAAAATGTCAACGTGAGCTTTGTTAATAAATACATTTCCGTGTAAGAGCACTTTTGTTTTCGAGAAATGTAAAGTGTAGTATTAAAGATGGACAAGTTGAAAAGTAGGTAAGAAGCAAGGCATTCTCGAACATGATGGCATAGCACGTTCATACCTTAACATGCTGAATCTAATTTTCGATTATTTTGAAAACTTTCTGAAACACTTTGTGTTTTTCCAACAAGCTTGAGAGAACAGTTGAATAGAATTTGTTTTCTGGTTGCGATTTTTAGCAAGTTAACTTCTTCCCAGCCCAAACTAGATTCTCTAAAACACGAATCTGACTTGTATATACTGTATCAGATAAATATATATAACCACAACATAAAAAACAGAATATCGTATTCGGAAAATCCATTGAAGAAAGAACCAAATCCAAGGTACTCCTTTTTATTTTTCATAATTTGACATAGACTGTGTTGTACATGATCACCTGTCAGAAAAAGGAGGTCTACAGAAGATGTATCTCACAAATGTATCGTACTTGTACAAAGTTATCTGTAAATATATTTCAGTACCGTCTCTAAGAATTGTCTGATATGTGTCCCATTAGATGATCGTAAGCTTCTCAATTTGAGAACCATTAGCAATATTTTTATATGTTGATTCGATTTCTTTTTACTAAAACATCTACAGTGGTTTAAACATGAGAAATGAAAATGTCACGTAGTGAATAGGACACAGTAGATGAATTTATAGCGAACAAGTCAAACCAGAGAATCAGTAAACTCTATAATTCCATACCAAAATGGAAGGAAGTAGTATGCATAACAAATCATATGTCACCTTCTTACCAGTGGCGTATGTTGAGTTTTACTATTTCTCTTCCATTTTGGCGCTTGACTATAGTACTTAAAATAAAAACTAAGCACCGTAGACTAAAATACGTTGCTAATCTAACCATTATATGATTCGCCATAAATGGTACGTCTCTCCGGTAATATGTATTATTTTTGTAAAATAGAACTGGTTGAGTTTTTTTGTAAATATTGTAAATATTTGACTGTATAATGTGTAAAATAAATAACTGAGATATAGATAAATTAATTATAATAATTTATTATATCGAACGTCTTTTCGACGGGTACTTGCAATATTTTATTATGTACGTTATATGAAGCTTTAGTACTTAAAGTGTACTTAGAGTCGATGTGAATCATAATAAAAGTTTTAAAACCATGCGACTGACTTTCATTGCTAAAAGATACCACCCTCCTTCATTGTATTGCTTTCAAAAGCTTTAGGCTTAATGTTGGCACACTTGGATAGCCAAGTATAAATTGAATAAAAGTAGCAGAAACTACATAAAAAAATTCCGTAAATATAGTACCTAGCAAACAACAAATTTCAAATTTCAGCGACTTTTTATATTGATATAGGAAAACTTCAATATTTCACCTCAAATACTACAAAATGGTCGTTTTGAAGGATATCTCTAAAAAAATTGTGTGTGGAATCAAGTACCTTATTCTAAAATGTTATAGATATTTCCAGAAAATCATTGACGTACTATCTCTATCTTTCTCGTCCTGTATGTTCCATAATAGTAAAGTGCAGCTGTTTGGTCTGTTCGTGAAGTAATTTCTTTTTGTATATTTTCGATCATACTTGCCCTATGCAATTAATGCCAGTATTCTTTGTATCACTGTGAAATCTTTTTTTCCGCAAAAATTGCTTAGAAACAGTAACGTATTATCATTACTTCAGC